GCAAGATATGGATTGGGGGAGGAATTGTCTTTGCGCATAAACCGTGACCATGGAGAGGGATGTTGCCTTGAGCTGTAGTCGCGGGGGGGAGACACTGCCCAGCTGTCCCTGAACTGCACACTCTGGAGGATGGGTTCAAAAGGACAATCATGATGAAGACTATCAAGGAACTTTTACTACCTCCCCAAGACCACCAAGAGACCCCCGAAGGGGAAGACTGCGCCTGCTCAAGGGGAGGAGATCTAATTTGCATCCGAAGCGGGACAGAGTGATGAATATGTACTAGGTGATGACGCAATCTTGTGAATATGTAAGTTTTGTTGCTTTAAATGGGATGCAATTACCGCGGCTCGGGGTGCAAGCATCCTTAGGGCACCTGACCCTCGCTGCACCCATCGCTGCAGAGCTGTAATAAACATACCTGCTTCACAATCAACTTGGATTGTGGAGTTCTTTCGCACATCAATTCCTCAAGCAGTATTACACATGTCCCTATCTCTTGACATGCTCCTTCTATGGCATGCTTTCCTTTGTCCTCAACTACTGTTCAGGACTCAGTGCATGGTTATAATAAAGAGAAGCTTTTACTCCTCAGATCTAGTAAGATTGCTTCAGTCTTCCAAAGCACACATTGGTATCTAGGAAGCACTTGAAGATTACTGTTCAGTATCTGACATTGGGTTTCATCAACCATTACAATAAAGGGCAAGCAAGGTTTCCAAGCATTCAGGAGGAGGTGTACATGCTGCTGTTTGATGTGTAGCAAACTTGCATCTGAAGGGAAACTAGTAGGCCAGAGTCCTTGAAAACTCTGACCGTTTTGAAATGTCACTGTTGGTTGATGAACCTGCTACAGGTTCTTGGATAGATCTTGGAATACAATAGATGAATATCTGCATGGTCTTTTAAACCATAACTGATGCACGTCTGAATGGAATCTATTTTGGGTGGTTGTTTTTCCTTGACTCACAGATCTTGTGTATTAGCATTAAAAAATGGCTTGTGCATAGTTTGTGCCGTTAAACTAGCCCCCAGCAGTTAGCGGTCTGTATGAAAGTGGCATGTCTGCCTCATAGCAGCTGGGTTTGGGAAGTTTGCAGATGATAGTGGAAAAAAAAGCTGTTACACAGCATGGTTCATCTGCAGCTGTGGTGTGAGCTCAGTAGGGATCTCCACAAAAAGTGTTCTGAGCTAATTTGAGCTTCTGCAGCCACTGCTCATCAGCTGGCATCGGCAATGAGGTCCTCTCCCAAGTCAACACTTGAGTCTCGGGTCCAAAATAGCAGTACAAAGGGTGAAGTTGTTCCCCAAAAAGCCCCTCTGAAACAGTAGTTTGGTTTGGCTGCCTGTTTTGACATGCTTATTTGGTCTCTCTCTTCAGATGTGAGTGGTGAACAGGCAGGGAACAGGAAATAATTTCAAAAACTGTAACTGTTGCTGCTACCACAACTTTTGTGTTCTTATTAATGTGATGGTGGCTTCTGGAGCTGCAACTACCTGAGCAGTTGTGCCACAAACCTCCCCTTCTGCTTGTGACAGACAGACACATCTATTCCTTAAGTTCCTGTACTTTGAAAGTGGTACTGGCAGCCAGAAGCGTAGTAGGTTGTGTATGAACAGGATTTGTGGGCTTTGTAATGAGTGCAGGGGTGGAATGTGGAGACTTAGAGGTGGCTTTCTCATTCATGTCCCATTTTAGGGTTAGCTTCACGTTGTGCAGTGGTAGCACAAAGGTTGGGACACTTGCCTGTGAGGTTATGAGAGCAGGTTTGGGGAGAACTTCTCCGTTGCACCAGGGGGAAGCAAAGATCTATAGTGAAAGCTAGTTCTTTGCTCTTTATCATAGCATAGGCATGCTCTTCTGGTTATTACAAAATGTATCTGTTCACTTAGATGGAAGCTCAGTATGTGTGTTGCAGCACTGATGCTATTGCTGCCTGTCATTTGAAAGACTTGCCACTTAAAGAATACTTTGGTATTGCAAATATGTTCCAGGGTCCTTGAAGATAATATTTGATGTATTTTAACTCTTCAGGGTCAAAATGGGAGTTTATCCTTTCATCCTACTTTCTTTACACAGTATAGAGGCACTGTGTTTTTCTCCTCCTTGTGTACATTTACATCACTGCTGCCAGTACTTCAGTAGGTTGATAGTACATGTTTCCATCCTGCATGCAGTTGCAAATCCATTTGACTAGAAATTTGCTTTCTAAATTTTACCTTTACATTCTAAGTAAGGAATTTGACTTGGATGTCAGAATGCCCAATTGTGCGATACCTGGGATTGTTAGTCATTTTTGGTCTTACTGGTTGAAACATTCCACAGCAGTGGGAGGGTTGCTCCTTCACTGGTGACCTCACAGCAGTCCTTGATAAGGATCTATATGCTGTTCAGGGGTAAAGAAAACTACTATATTGTACAGTGAAACACTTGGAAAAAATGTTTCAGGAGATGCGTTATTTACCTGGAAGAGTTTATCTTTCACAAGTTTACTGGACAAGAACAAACTTACCAACCATGGTGACATTTTGAGACGCTTAAGAGTACAACTTTCCGTTACTCATGTGACGTTCCCTGTGGGTGACTGTCACATTAATGGGTTGGTTACTTCTGTGGTTTTTCACTTGGTGACATGCTTAAAAATAAGTACTTTTCCTCTATAACAAGGTTTAAAATGTCTAAGCTGAAAGCTAAAAGGAGGCTCATAATGAAAATGTGTGTTCACACTTTTGGAGAAAACAAGGTTCTGGTTGTTTTTGAATGCATTCAAATTAGGAATGAACTTGATAGGATAAAGTAGTTCAAGTGTGTGTTACCTGTAATGTAAAAATGAACTAATGATATGAAAATTACAGTGAAATCTAAATCTAAATATTAAACCTGTATAGAAATATATAGTCATGGTGGGAAATCTAGTGATTTGCTTGTCACAGGTTTTTTGGTAACGTGATCCTTGTGTGAAAATTACTGTAGGATTAATGAGTTCTTGTAAAAATTTATTTAAACTCATGAAATAATGTAAATGTATTTCATAATGAAATAGCAAGTTTTATCAAACTTCGGTTCAGAAGTGTCTACTGCTGTGACTACTACTATTGTTCTGATTTAGGCTATACTTTCAAATACCTGTTGTATTCTGGTTATAAAACAGAGCTTTTCACATTAAGAAATGTTAATTTAACTAAGTTAAGTTAACTAAAGGAGCATTGGCTGAAGTTTCAAGTGAATATGTGTGTATTGCGTACACAGTAACTTTCAGGCAGCTTCAGCTTCTTTTTCCCCTCAGTGTTCTACAGTAATGTGATGGCTTCAGACTTTTTTGAAGCCTCCAACTAAATCAGAGAAATGAACAATTTAAAAAATGAACATCTAAAAACTATAGACCTTATTTTTGGAGAGAAAAAAATTCAAAGAAAGATACTCAATTGAAAGGTGGATAGGTTTTTTGCATTAAAAAAATCAACCAGGCTTTCTGCCCTCCTGATACGTCTCACAGAGAAACCTGTGTCAATCCAAGTCACTGTCTAATTTCTATAAATGGATAGTTCTTCAAGGCATTAATTGTTTAAATGGAACAGGGAAAGTGAGTCTGTAAGTAATGAACTCAAAGGTATAGATTATTGACTGAAAGAAGAGGTGTTCAGTACAAGTTTACATTATGATACACACAGGGAGAGATGCTTTCTTCATGTGAACGTCAGAAGACGTCAGACTTCAAAGTGGTGTGAGCTGAGAACAGCTAACAGTGCCCTTCAAAGTTCTTCTTGATGTCGTCAGATTAAAATCTTGGCTTTGGTGCCTATTAGCAACTTCCTTTTTTAGCAGTTCACTCTTCTGGTGTGAAGCAGATATTGACAGAATCATTTATGGTAGTCAGTCTATCTGCATATGTACTAAATTTTTCCTGTATTACAGTTTTTTAATGCAGTTTTGTTCTTCCTGTGCTCCTGCTCTTTACTACCCATTAATACTTTTAAAGTAGTCTTATTGTTCCTTAGTTCCTTTTGTTGTCTAAGGTTAATGACAACAGATCTATGGATTACATAATACCCTGCAAAAAAGCAGTTGTCCAAAAATTAGCAGGTTCTGTGCTATAACTGGGATGTTTGAGAAGGAAGTAAATGTGATTAAAGTTGCATGTGTGAAAAGGGGAAGTTATAGAAGAAATAGTATTTCAGAGTTTCTGTTTTGGCTTGAAATGTTGGGCAAGAGTTTGTGTTTTGTTGCATCAACTACGCTAACATCTTAGGATGAATTGCTGGGGATACTCCTGCTGGATATTCTACTTGTAAGTTTTTAGTAAATGTGTATTGCACATTTCTCTGTTCTCTGCTTGCTGTCTTCTGAGTGTCCTTTCTGAAAGTCATGTTACCAGGGGGAAAGAAGTTATGATTTCACAAACGTCCTGATTTTATTAATTTTTTATTAGTAATTGTAATGATTGAATGGAAGGAAGATGAATTGTCATGTAAATTAACTTAGATATGTTTCTTTGAACGGTGGATCCAAGTATGGTGAAGAGAAAGTCACTTTATTCAGGACATTTATTCAGGTGGTTCTTGCTTCACAGCCTCTAGAAAGCAAGCTAATCTTAATCCCTCATTCAAAGGAAACAAAGGTATTTGTTTTAACTAGATGTGCATGTGTGTTTTGCCAGCGAAAAAGAGCGATTGTTTTATTTCCTGAAACATTGAGCCTTCGGAGGGCATGACCTCTACAGGTGCAGAGAGCTTAGGTTTAATTATAGCCAAAGAATGAATGTTGAAAACAAAACGTCTGATTAATATTCAACTTTTATTAACATCTCTAAAGACTTCCTTTAGTTGGTGTGTTTTTCCTATCTATTTGAAAGTTGTTGAGAACTTGGAAGTTGCTGAGATAAAAAGTCAAGGTGATGCCACTGCTATTATGTTTTCCAATCACGTTTAAATATATTACTTTTTAAATGTGAGAGATTTTTCTTTAAAATAGCTGCTTTCTTTTTTTTTTTGTCTTTAAGATAAAGCACCTTTGTCAAAGAGTCTGTTACTAGTCCCAAGTGCCATCTCAATTCTATTGACTCTGCTCTTCCAACATTATCAGAAGTTCTTTGCATATAACCTACAAGCTATAAAAGAAGATTTTCAGGTAAGAGTCAGTTCATTTTCTGTGGAAAGAGACTGCAAACTCTGCTCTTCTAATCCCCCCTTTTTTTTTTTCCCTAATCTGTTTTTCCTCTGGTTCTTTTCCTTTGTTCGTAGACCAGCTTGTTTTACCTTTTTTTTTTATGTCACTCCAGTATGCCACTTTTGGGAAAAAGTGAGAAAAACTGATCTGAAACGATCAACACAGCTTTTCACTTCTTTCTTTTGTCTGGGAAATTATTTGGTTTGTATCATTTTTCCTCCCAGCCACTGGCATTTGGAAGTTTGCTGTGAATGAAGTGTGGTTTAACACATGTAATAATAGAAGTACTCTGATATGAATGTCAATATCTTATTGTGCTTAGTTTTTGTGGCTTAAGAGTGCTATTATGATTGGGTATTCTGATTATATATGATTGATTTTAACAACAGAGGCCCTAACTTTCTCTCTGCAACTTCTGTTACAGTTAGTTGTGGGAAACTAAAATTTGCCTGTTGAATAGAACTACTGCTTCTATCTTGAAGATTCCAAGGGGTGGGGGAGTTTGTCATGCTCCTCAGTAATCTGCTGAATTGGTTTATTATCTTACATTTCTTCCTTATTCCCAGTTCAAATTGAGATTTTTTATCTTTCAGGTGTTGCATCTTGTAAGGTTTTGTTCTCGGTTTAATTAAGAATTGTCTAGTATCAGTTGTAATTGTCAAAATAATGCACTGAGAAGTGATTAGATAAGTTTTGTGGGGATTTGTTTTTTTCATTTTTGGAAATGGCAAACAGAATAGGGTCAGCAAATGCCTCTGCAATTATGTTATCCCACGTGTTTTACAGTTACCTCAAAAAACAGTATGTAGTCAACTTAATGCCTTTGAGGATGCCATCTATAGCCTATAAACCTTAAAAGATTGTTAGACCTAGCTACTGATACTCAGTGCTGTTGCACTCTCCATGATCTTTGTTGTCAAGAACAAGAGTTTTATTGTAGTGATGTAGACTTCAACTCTTCAAGAGCACTGCTTGTACTTTCCAAGTGTCTTGCTAATGCTGTGCAGCAAAAATGCATAAATTAATATCTGCCTTTTGAAAGCTTTACAACCAAGTGTTTGGGGAGGGGGAAGAGAAAGTCAGAAACTATTCAAATTTTAAATGGAAATGTTGTGGGTTTGGGGTTTGCTGGTTTGTTTGTTTTGCCGTCTGTCTTTAGAGGAGTCCTCTCTTTCCATTTATTTGATCTTATGAAAAACAGTAGTAGCTGTGTCTTATTCAAAGAAACCATCTTTACTGTGTCTTAAGCACAAACATTTGCAAGTATCTGTAGAAGCTATGATAATTTTATAGGGATGCTTCGGGGAATTTGTGGGTTTGGGTTTTTTTCTTTCCTGAAATTGTTGCTTCATTTATTGTCATAGCCTTTGTAGTAAGCTATATGCTATATAGTGGTTTATCTCTGAGATCAGGGAGTGCAGATCGTTTAACTCCTGTCTGATGCTAATACTCAAATTGGAACACTTAAAAAAAAGATTTGCTTAGAATAGATTCATCTGTGGGGATGAGTTTAATGAAATGGAAATTTTCCAGGGACTGAACAGACATTTTGGATATTGGATATTAACACTTGTTAAAGCTGGTAGAGAGCACAGGAAATAAAGTTGAAGAAGAGTGCATTTGATTTGGAAGGCAAAATATGTACTGTGCAAAACGAAAAGATCTTTGTCTCCATAAGGGGTACCCTCAAAAGCAGTGTCTTGATGACATTAGACCTATGTATTTTTTAGGCTGGCTAAAGTAAAGAG